GTATATGGGCCCTGGAAGGTAGTTTTCTTTTTGTTTGTGCCTGCTGTTTGCTTTTTCGTGTGCGTGTGTGGACATGCACAGAGGCTGGGTGAAGGAGGAAGCAGCGTCTGTGTCCAGTTACTGATGTCACTCTTGCGTCTGCTCTGTCTGATGTCATGCAGGTGTGTAGAGGATGGGTACTTGAATGGCCTTTTGGCCGTTGCTAGGGCCGTGGGAGACTGGCATTAACGTCTGTGCCTAGTTGCTGATGTCGCTCTCTCGTCTGCTCTGTCTGATGTCTTGCAGGTATGTTGAGGATGGGTACCTGAATGGGCTTTTGGCCGTAGCGAGGGCAGTGGGCGACTGGCATTTGGCAGGCTTGAAAGTGCAAGGTTGCGGGCCTTTGATAGCCGAACCTGAATTTCGGGAAGAGCAATTGACTTCGGAAGACGAATTCATGATCCTAGGATGTGATGGCCTGTGGGATGTTTTCAGCAGCCAGAACGCCGTAGAATTCGCCCGTCGCAACTTGCAGAAGCATAACGACCCGGAGCGGTGCTCACAGGATCTTGTTCAGGAGGCCATCAAACGATCGACCTGTGACAATGTGAGCGTCCTCACTGTGTGCTTTACTCCGGAGCCTCCCCCCCAGCTGTCATGGAAGTCGTCAGGAGTGAGGCGGAGCTTCTCTGTTGACAGTCTCCGTACTCTGCAGGAGAGTCTTGATGCTTGCTAAGCTGATATCTGAGGGGCCCCTTTGAAGTCAGTGGTTCAACTGATGATAACTGCCTGAAGGTTTGTTGCCGGTGGTGGATGGATGTCTTCACCTGGAGTATGGAAACACAAGGTATTCGGCAAGGGGGTTCAGTGGGTCAGAGGGAGAGGAAGGACACGGGAGGGTAGGGGGAGAAAGTGGGTGAGGAACCACTGCACTACACACGGGCGCGCACACACACACACACACACACACACACACACACACACACACACACACAGAGGGAGAGAGCACCGCAGGAGAAGGAACATGATGAGAGAGAGAGAGCACCGCATTAGCAGGAACATGATGGTCTGAGGTGAAGAATCTTCATAATCATGTCTTCAGTTGCGTCTGTGTTCTGAAGTGTAGAAAGTGTGTGATGGATGACGTTGAGAACTGGATGGAGTAGTTGTATAATCAGGGAGCGACGTCTCCAGCAATGGTTGGTCCGCGGTGGAAACTGGGCGAAGATGGCTTCATTACTATGTATATGGCCATGGGCTGGAGGGGGCTGGTAGTGAGAGCTGCTTTGCCGCACAGAGGATGCTGTTCGACATGCAGTCGGGGTTCCTACCATTTGCGAAACAAGAGTTGGTAGCATGATCCAGGGTTTGCTTTTGTCTGCGGCCAGTCGGCTATTGATCGGGGGGTGATATGAATAGACATTGTCAGCTGCTGTAATGGCCGTAGTTGGAAGCACCGAGTCTGTCGATATTGTTGGGTGTTTCCGATGAAGGGTATGGGAAAAAACGTGAAGGGAGGGGTCCGGTTATTAACGAGGGTTACGGAGAGAGAATGGGGTGGGGCCAGGTTGATCGTGGCGGGGCCCGCCAGGTTTATGTCACAAATGGTTACCACGATAGACGGTGTGCAGTCAGGTGGGCTTGTGTGAAGAAGAGTTCCTCGGCCTGTTGCTCAACACATGCCTGGCTTAGTGACTTTGCATCAACTGGCTCTATAATGGATTTCGGGACCACAAAGAATCGGTAGAGAGAGCTACCAATTCGTCTCAAGTGACTCTGGGTGTTTGCAAGACCGGCACTGGTATGTCAGATTTTATGCTATGCTATGCTAGCAAGCAAACACAGGGCAGATTGAAAGATACGATAATGCGAACGGTGGAAAGGGATGCAAGGCATGTATGTCTTGTCTATCCGAATGTGCAACATTAGGAATGAAATGCGGTCCTGCTCTATTTGGCTCACACTCTACTTTCGTTCCTTCCCGGTTTCACGAGGTGATCAATTGGGTATTTTCTGCTCCGCGGGCCCAAGCTTATCGTCATGCCGAGGTGTGCTCCTGAAGCTTGGTGCTGGACAGCGGCGGCTCCTTATTACCTACAGGTATGATCTTTGTTAAGAAGGTGGAGGCAGTTGGTAGTAATATGGCAAGTACGGTGCATGGTATTGAAATTAGCATCGAAAAGACTAGAGAAAGATGTAGAACAGGAAGTCCAACTGTATCTATCGGGGAAGTACATCTGCAGTATTGGTGTGCTGGAGATGCAGATGGTAATATGGGTTAAGTGTGCTATGGTATAACTCATCTGCTGCATTATTGGTTCAGGCAATGGTTACGAGTGCGGATCTGAGAATTGCTGGTCGTCAATTGGGAGATTGGAAGAGATTCGATCGGTGGGATGCATTGCGTGGGAAGTAAACAGTCGATGAATGGTTATGGGTGCAGATCTAAGAGTCGCCGGTCGTCGATCAGAAGATTGGAAAAGTCTATGGGTGGGGGATGCATTGTCTGTTGAGTAAACAGGCGATGGTTGTGGGTGAAGATCTGAAGATCGCTGTTCGTCGATTGGAAGGTGAGAAAGGTTCGATGAGTGGGGGGGTGGAAGGTGAGAAAGGTTCGACGAGTTGGGGGGTGCATTGTGTGGTGGTGAGTAAAGAGGTGTGTGTGTGTGGTATTCTGTCTCCAGGGCAGGTAGTCCTGTGGTATATGTGCATTATGGGAGGGGATGATGAATGTTGTTCTATATGCCCATGCAGCGACTGTTCTATGCCCATGCAGCGACATCTGCATCCTTGGTGGTTGCTGAGGAATAGAATTGCAATTGGTGCCTGCTTTACACAGAGTGGGAGAAGGGCTGGGGGGTAGCAGATGGGTGGGTGTGTATCTCTGAGTAGAAGAAAAGAAAGTCTACTTGAAGTAGATTCCAGGCTGTGAAGTCCAGCCAGGGTGCCCATGCTTCGGTTTTGTCCCGTCCAACAGGTTTTACTTTGTCCCTTAGGTCTCTTCTAGGCGGCTTTATCCTCCTCTTGAGGTATTCTGTCTCTTCGTCTTTTTCCTACCTTGACAGGATTTGTGTGTATGTTCCCCTCGATTCGGGAGCTTCTTTTAGTAGGCTGTTTGTGACGTAACTATCATTGCGATGACGACGATGCTGAAAGTGACGATGAAGGTGATGATAACGACCGACTATGAAGGAAATGACGGTGATCCTGGTGCGAGGTTGCCGTTGGCTTGTTAATCCTCGCTCCCATAATGTTTAACTTGGACATAATCTTAAGAACCCTGTGTTACGAAATCCCTCCTTCGCTCGCGTTGCTGCAGAGGTACACTGTTGTGTGTGCAGGTCATGAGGGGTTCAATTAGGATAACATTGTTTGAAACTGAACCGGGGGGTTGTTGTGTGACAGATACTCGCTACCACAGCAGAAGAAATTTGAAGGACAACAGGATGCCATGCCGTGTGGCAAGGAAAGAAATGGGCTGTATTTGCTATCCAATTCTCTTCTGCGTAAAGCGACATGATGACTTTTGTTATCTCTTCGGGCACATTCTGGAACGCGTTATTCATTTCAGTGGATGGGGGATAAAGCCCATTGATCGTCGTCGTCCATGCCAAGCTGTGGCCAAGGATGGAGTCGTGACGAGAAATAGATGTGGCGTTTTCTTGTGCTGAATGTGGCCGTCTGCTTCATCAGTATAAGAGTGTGTTTCTGTGTTCTGTCTGTGTGTGTGTGTGTGTGTGTGTGAGAGAGAGAGAGAGAGAGAGAGAGAGAGAGAGAGAGAGAGAGAGATTTTGATTCGTCAAGACATTATTTGCTGACACTTCTAGACCTGTCTCTTATACACATCTAGATGTGTATAAGAGACAGCTATATGTATCTGGTTGCAGTTTGAGGCTGGATA